AGAAAAGGTTGGCTTGTGAACAAAATGAAAAAAAAATTTAGTTAGACCCAAAGTCTTTTATGAGCCAAAGGTGTGACGATGCTCTAAATAGGAAAAGTAGTATTAAAACTTTTTGGATGGGCGTGGTGGCTCACGCCTGTAATTCCAGCACTTTGGGAGGCTGAGGCGGGTGGATTGCTTGAGCCTGGGAGTTAGAGACAAGCCTGGCCAACAGTGGTGAAACCCCATCTCCACAGAACAAAAAATACAAAAATGAGCCTGGTGTGCTGGTGCATGCCTGTAGTCCCAGTACTCAAGAGGCAGAGCCAGGAGGATCACCTGAGCCCGGGTGGCAGAGGGTGCAGTGAGCTGAGATTGCACCACTGCACTCCAGCCTGGGTGACACAGCAAAACCCTGTCTCCAAAACAAAACAGAACACCTTTTTGAGGAAGGAAGAAAATGATCCTTTTCTGAATCTGGATAACTCACTTAGAGTAAACTGACAAAATATGAGTGTACCCATAAGAGAAGGACCCCGGGAGCTCAGCCACACACACGAAGAGCAGCGGGGAGGGGCCGGGAAGAAGTGCTGAGACTCTCGGTACAAACTTGGCTGCATGAGCTCAGCATTCTCCCCTTTTCCTCCTGGAACCATCCAAACAAAACAAGAGAAAACAAAAACCTCATTTTCAGCAAAACTGGGAGACAAACTCCAAAAGAGTTGCAAGGACTTCCAAAGGAGATCCAGTTCACACAGGAGATGAGGAGAAAGCAGAGAAGCAAACGAGGGCGATACTAGCAGCAGCAGTTATCAGAGAGCACCAAGGGAGATGGGAGGTGGGAGTGTATGTAGTTCTTAAAGATGAAGGACCTATGAAGGGCAAAAGCACCATCCCTCACCTGCAAAAAGGATGCAGAGACAGGAGTGTGTGGATGGCAAGAGAAATCCCCAACCCCAGTGGGCCTGGTTTTGTGGCATCTGCACTGTGTTTGCCCACAGCCTTTGCTTTACCGACCATGTTTTGCCAGTCTGCTGACAGGTAACAGTTATCTCCTTTCAATGTTAATATCTTATGAGTGAGGCTGACCATCTTTACCTACTTTGTTCATAAAATAATCTCTGTTCCTCAAACAGTTCTGACTAAATCCTTAATGCCAGTAAAGGGCTACGAACCAATTATGGCTCAAATAGTCAGCCCTCTGTATCCACAGGTTTCACAACCACATGGATTCGACCAACCTTAGGTCAAAAAATATTTGAAGAAATTCCATCTGTACAGCCTTTTTGGTCATTATTCCCTAAATAATACAGTATAACAGGCATTTGCATGGCATTTACACTGTACTTGGTATTAAGTAATCCAGAGATGATTTAAAGTACAGTCATGTGTTGCTTAACAACAGGGATATGTTCCTAGAAATGCGTCGTTAGGTGATTTCTTCATTGTATGAACATCATATAGTGTGCACACACAAACCTAGATGGTACAGCCTACTACACACCTAGGCCACATGGTGTAGCCTATTGCTCCTAGGCTACAAACCTGCACAGCCTGGTACTATACTGAATATGCTAAGTAACTGCAATACAATGGTAAGCAGTTGTGTATCTAAACACAAAAAAAGTACAGTAAAAACATGCTATAAAAGATTACAAATGCAATCTCACCACGAATAGAGCTTGAGGGGCTGGAGGTTGCTCTGGGTGAGGTCAGTGAGTGAGTGGTGAGTGAATATGAAGACCTGGGACATTAGTGTACACTACTGTAGCCTTCATAAACACTGTGCATTCATGCCATACTAAATTTATTTTAAAATGTTTTTCTTCCTTCAATATTAATCTTAATGTAACTTTTTCTTAAAATTTAAAAGTTAATTTTATTCTTTTATGAGTTTAATACACAAACACTTCATATAACTGTACAAAATATTTTCTTTCTTTAAATTTCTATCCTATAAACTTTTTCCTAATTGAAAAATTTTTTTAGCTTTAAAAATGTTTTTGGTAAAAAGAAAGACACAAACATATACATTAGTCTAGGCCTACACAAGGTCAGAATCCTCAATATCACAATCTTCTCCCTCTACATCTTGTCTCATTGGAGGGTCTTCAAGGGCAAATAACACACATGGAACTGTCAGCTGTCATCTCCTATGATCACAATGCCTTCTTCTGGAATCCTCCTGAAGGACCTAAGGCTCTTTTGCAGTTAACTTGGTTTTTAATACGTAGAAGGAGTACACTCTAATGATTAAAAAGTATAATATAGTAAATACATAAACACAGTAACATATACTGTATATAATTGTACATGCTATACTTTTATACAACCAGCAGTGCAATATGTGAGTTTACACCAGCATCACCATGATCACGAGTAACAGGTTGAGCTACAACCCATTACACGTTACAAAGGCTATGATGTCACTGGGCAATAGGAATTTTTCAGCTCCATTATAACCTTATGGGACCACTGTCATACATGTAGTCAGTTGTTGACCAAAATGTTGTTATACAACATATGACTATATATGGAACAGAGTGCACAGGTTATATGCAAAGACTAGGCCACTTTATATCAGAGGCTTGGGCATCTGCACTTCTGGTATCCATGGGAAGTCCCAGAACCAATTCCCCAAATAAGGGATCACTCTATTCCCAAATTACCTTCCTCGGACCTGGAGTTTAAGTAAAGCTTAATTACCCAGGCTAATAACAAGCAGCTAGCTGACCAAAAATCCAAACCAGTGGAATTCTACTCATGTGACTTTTCCCATTTCAATATTTTCTTAATCTTTCCTAATTGAGAAAAGAAGCTCAAAGAGATGACCCTGAGTTTGAACTTACACTGAAAATCCATCATGGGCTAATTAAAACATGTCAAGTACAAAATTCTTGTTTTCACAGACATTCACTAGCATCTACGTAGCTTATAAAACAAAATGACTTTAAAACTTAAGCTCTTCCTTGTGAGCCAGCGCTCACCTTCACCACCTACCACATGCAGAGGCTGGACAGCCAGAGTCTCAAAATCCAAGCATTCTAATACAGTAAGTACAGTCCATACGCAACTTGAACAGACCTTTGAACTCATTCAAGAGTTATTAAAAAGAACATTGAAAAGGGTCTTAACAAAAATACTACAAAGAGTTTGCAAATTAGCTACAAAAGCATTACATAAGCAGCGAAGTTGTCTCTACTACCGGGGAACGTATGTCCTGTTTTCTTCTAAAAGTCCTAGCTGACTATTTGCAGGCTCCTTAGTTCAGCAGGCACCAATTTTTCTAAACAGGCGGCAAATTATAAAGAGTTTTCAGACTCCGGACTACAAAAATACACAAAGTATATGAAACATTCCATGCCAAAATGTGCTGTTAAATTAGTAGGATAATATTTAACAGCATGTGTTGCTATTTAATAGACTAAATTCCACTGGATAATATCAATACAGGGCTTTACTGCTGTTGGGCCATTTTTCTGGAGGAAAAAAACAATGTCTGTGAATTAAATAAAAACAGAAATGATAATGAATGAGAAATTTGGACCTGTGAGGTATGCAGCAGGAGCCAGTCAAGAAAAGAAAATCAAAAGACTTTTCTGACCCCCAGGTGAAATGGCCATGTTTTGGTCAATGATGAACTGCATATACAATGGTGGTCCCATAAAATTATAATATCATATTTTTACCATACTTTTTCTATGATTACTTTTTCTATGATACAAATACTTACCATTGTGTTACAACTGCCTACAGTATTAGGCACAGTAACATGCTGTACAGGTTTGTAGCCTAGGAGCAAGAGGCCACACCACATAGCCTAGGTGCGTAGTAGGCTGTACCATCTAGGTCTGTGTAGGTACACTCTATGATGTTCCCACAATGACGGATCACCTAATGATGCATTTCTCAGAATGTATCCCCGTCATTAAGCGACCCATGACTGTACAGGGAAATAATATATTTCTGTGCATTAAAAACATGAAAGCTGTAAGGTAACCACATTACCAATGTTAGCAATATTCATGAGTTAAACGAGCAGGTGGTGCAAAATGTACTTCTCCACCAGAGGACACTACAACTTCCAGGTTCAAATTGTTTTCTGCATCCCTTAGTGTCTATGGTTTTTTTGTTTTTTGTTTTTTTGGCTTAAACCAGTAAAAATTTATTTTCTGACAGTTCTGGATGCTGGAACTCTGAAACCAAGGTGTGAGCACGGCCATGTTCTCTCTGAAGGCTCTAGGGAAGGGTCTTTCTTCACCTCTTCCTAGCTTCAGTGGTTGCAGGCACTACTTGGCCTTCCTTGACTGGCAGACCATTATTCCCAACTTGCCTCCCTTGCCACATGGTACTCTTCCTGTGTTTCTGCCTCTAAGTCCAAATCTTATCTTTTTCTTTTAAATTTTGTTTTACTTTAAGTTCTGGGATACACTGCAGAACGTGGTTTGTTACATAGGTAAACGTGGGCCATGGTGGTTTGCTGCACCTGTCAACCCATCACCTACGTATTAAGCCCGGTATGCATTAGCTATTTGTCCTCATCTGCATCCCCTACTCTTGAGTATACCTAAAGTTAAGGCATTTAGAGAAAAAAATAATTTTTCATGTGAAGGCGGCTGAAGTTTCAGAAAAATATGCACTGGGACTCAGAGGCTGAGAGTGGAAAAGCAATCAGGTCAATCCTGAGCAAGCCAACTTAAACCATAATGCAAAGACTTCACAAAACTGGTCTGATGCCATCTTTGGGACACTTGCTCGGCATCTAACACAGTATGTTGATGAGTAACTGTGGGGCAGATCCAAGTTTTCACAAGGAAGGAAAACATTTCTAAGGCCTCAAGGAATGTGAAGGCCTGCCAGTCCAAAGTGTAAGCTTTCTTTCACAAGTTATGTAAACAGCTGTGCCAGGGGATAAGTATTACCCCAGGAAGCTACGGAGGATATTCCTTGGAGTGGCTAACTACCAGTGTAAATGCAGAAAGAGAAAAGACCAACCAACTTGGACATTTTCCTTTTGCTACCTCTTCTAGCCGTCGCCTCTGTTCTTTCTGCTGCTCAATCCGCTTCTGTCTCTCCGCCAGCAGTTGCCTTTTATATTCTTCCTGCTCCCGGAGCTGTTGCTCCTGTAGTAACTGTTGTCTCCGAAGAGCCTCAGAACGTTCCTTGTTCTCCTGCTGCAGTCTCAGGAAATCTCGACGAAGAGTAGACTCACCAGGCACGTTCACAATGGAACTGTTGGAGAAAGTAGGGCTTTCAGGGGTGTGCACAGATCACACTGTCCTCTAAGTGAGACAGCAGCACCAGCATCCTATTCCATTTCCACATTCATTCTCTGAGTTCTTCTGACTTGAGGGAGGCAACTAATACATTCACAGAAATGACCATAGCTACAATTCGATAGTCCCATATCTTCTTTTATTTATTTAGTAAATGTCTTAAAATGCTGTCCTAGATGTTTGCTTGACAAGACATTTCTACTTAGGATTCTCATAACGATTCAAACTCAGTAAAAGGAAAGGTTGAAATCACCTTCTTTGATTTCACTAGTCCTTTAACTACCTTTTTTTTTTTACTTCAGTAAACAGAACCATCAGACCACTCTTCAGTGTTTACACCATTCCTTTTGTCTTTGGTCAACCACCAAGCCCTGTCATAATTCCCTCCCACTTTCTAATTTCCAGGTCAGCAGCTAAGCCCAAGCGGGTCCTATGAATCAGCCACTGCAAAGATCAATTAAACACACCCTTCCTAGGTGACCTCCCCACCGAGTTACTTCTCCACTGCCATGGCATCTAGAGCAGCACGGCAAAGACATCTCCTTAAATTGCCTTTTTCGCCATATGGTGCTCCTCCTATTCAAAAACAATTACACTGCTCATGAAATCAGTTCAAATTCCTCTGAAATTCTTAGTCTAAAATGGATTAAAATCTCTCCTACACAAGAAGAAAAAGAGATTATGGAGTAGCTTCAATAAATTCTCTTCTCTCTCTTCCAAGTCCCATTCTCTGGCACATGGTTCCCCACAGGTCTCTCGAGATGCCCTTCCACCCTCCCTTTGTTCACTTCATCAGCCACATCCTGCAGCATGGACAAATGCCAGGCACACCCATCTTACAATCCAAAAATCCTCTATTCTCTGATTCATCAGTTATTATGAGGTTCATGCAACCAATCTGACTCCTTAACCTTCTGCTTTACTGAACCTTGGGGAGCCAGAGATAAACCAAAACACAGACCGTAAAATAAATCAGGACACACACAGTCCTGCTGGTCCATGAGTGGGACAATTCTTTGTGTGTAGCCATATTCTATATACCACAAGAAATGGTGTTCAATGGCACCTTCACTATCCATGGCTTCTGGAACAATAAATGCTGGGGCACTCTCCCCTGCCTAGGCCCACACATTTATCAATGACTCGGGGAGAGGACACAATACAACCCTTGGTAAAGAATCACTGGGTAAGAGGATCCAGGGAAGAAAAATGTTTACAGGACAAGAATAGAGAAGAATGGAAGATAGTAAGACGCTGTCTAACTGGTACTAGCAAAGAATTAAAGATTCGTTGTACCACACAGGAGTCTTCTGAAATCCTGGCACAACATAAAACTTAATCCCTTCATAAAGCAGGATACTGAACAGTGGCTTCGTGGTTACCTTGGCTCTCCTTCCTGTTCAGGCACTTCCTCCTCTTCTTCCTCACTCCCACTGTACTCATACTCAGTTTCATCTACAAAGAAAAGGACAAGAGCATCATGGCAGAAAATAAACAAATTCCTGGTGAAAACAGCAACTTGTATAAAGGATTTGGGGAGGAGGGACAAGACACCACATTCCCATAGTGACAGCATCTATTCCCTAGTCAGCCTTACTCCCTATAGAAAAGCTGATTCCACAGCATTCCAGCCAACCTTGTATGGGGATGCACTGCTGAGGAGGTGCAGGACCACGAGAGGGGGTCCAGCGCCCCGACACATAAGAAAAGAACCCAAGGACACTAGCAAACTCAACAAAATCCACTTTGATGGCAAAATTCAAAAAGATATGTGACTGCTGAAACTAAGGCAACCAAGATAATTTATTTGGTGATTTTCTGCAATTAGGGATCCACGGAGAGTGCAGCAGAGGGAAAAAAGCCTGTAGGATGGACACAGAGTGAAACATTAACTAGGTACAGGTTTTCCTAGGTACAAGCCAAAATGTACCCACAAACAAACCAGGCAAAATCAGGGAAAACAAATTAAACCATATAGCAAAAAAAACGAGACTAAAATTTGCTCTACTTAGGCCAGACTTCAAACAAACAGAAGTTTCAACATCAATAACTCACTTTCAGTTCTACAGGTTTCATACAGTTCTCCCAAAAGGCCATTTTACCGGTCCCTTCACTTAATGTCAATATCCAACTTCCAGTGAGCAGTTTCACTCCAGAAACCAACAAAACACCCAGACAGGCTGAAGAGATTTAAAAGCAAAGACTAGACACACACACCTCTATTTTTTTCAAAGATATACAAGATGAAAATCAGGCTGGGTGCGGTGGCTCCCACCTGTAATCCCAGCACTTTGTGAGGCCCAGGCGGGCAGATCACGAGGTCAGGGATTCAAGACCAGCCTGACCAACATGGTGAAAGCCTGTCTCTACTAAAAATACAAAAATCAACTGGGTGTGGTGGTGCACGCCTGTAATCCCAGCTACTCAGGAGGCTGAGGCAGGAGAATCACTTGAACCCAGGAGGCGGAGGTTGCAGTGATCCAAGATCACACCACTGTAGTCCAGCCTGGGTGACATAGCAAGACTCTGTCCCAAAAAAAAAAAAAGATGAAAATCAGTTTCCTGGTTTTAAAGTGCCTGAGCAATTAAAATATGGTTCCGTATAAATTTATCAGTCTGCATATATAACATAAGCTCTTCTGTATGCTAAACCATCAAAGCTATTTAATTTTAATAGACTCTGCTAGCTTCAAAGGGAAATTCCAGCTTAAATAATCTTCAGAATCCTTAAAATAGGTACTCTGCTATGTTTATAATTTTATATTACAAATTACTAATTATTGACAAGAGGCTGATGGTATCTGGAAGGTAAACCCAAAGAGAAAATAAAGAGGTCACTGTGACTTGAAGACTGAAAGGAAGGGAAGGTGTTCTGCTGTTTCCATCTGCAAAATGTGGGTGATGAGGAAAACACGAGATGATCCAAGGTATCTGGCAAATGTTCCATGAATGTTAGCTATTATTACTAAGTAAAGTTATGGGAAAATGATCCAATATGCAAATAATTTTTTCCTAAACAGTGCTTCCATGTCAATTGAGAGTTAAGGAAAAAAAGTCTTGTTTTCAAGCTTTAGTTAACTGTGTTACAAGTGCATAGCTTAATATACAAAGCCTAATTACTTTTATAACTAAGTATATCAGAAGGAAGAAGGTTATTCTGAACATCAATGATAACTTAACTATGAATACCAGTACAGGCAGAAAGGCCTCCAGACTTTGACCAATTCTTTTACTGCCTTGAACCTGCTCTTCTTAGTTTCTTCTCTGACCTTGAAATTTGAACCAAAAAATAATAGGATACCAGTTATCCAAGTGTTGTTCTATAATGTTATTATAGGGACCCACAAAAGAGAAAGATCAGTGTGAGCCAGCAGCCTCAGAGAAGATGGTTTAGTAAAGATGGTGATGATGTTTGAACTGCACCTTGCTGGACAGAAGGAAAACGGAGAGCATTCCAGGAAGGTCGGCAAAGTATGTGCAAAGACATAAAATAAAGATACTGGGAACACAAAAGAACCTTCAGTAGTTAGCACAAGAGCATGCTTGTGCTGTGCATGCTATTGAAAGCAAAGTCGTCTGACTGTGCATGTGGCCCATGCTGCCACACCACTTGTAATAGAGAGAGCGGTAAAAAACCCCTGAGCGGGGTTCTTGGGCAGGAGAATTATACAGAAACACACTGATGGTGATGCTCACAGCAGATGCTCAATAAACCCCAGTGAAATATGCCATGAACACATCCATGATGAAGTAAAATGGGCAGCAACAATGACGTCACCCTCGGGAACAAGAAGAGCATCCCATCGTCATGCCTATTTACTTGCTGTAAGCTTGGTGACACACCACAAAGCTCCAGCCAGCTCCACCTGGAGCCAGGCTGGACCCCAGGCCTAAGCACTGAACTGCAAGCAGAGAGAAACCATGCAAGCACTGGCCAAGTGAGCACTCTCACAGCTGGGAAGGGAGTGACCTACTCTAGTTGGCAAGAACCTAAACATAAAAATTTTAAAGGATGAAAACAAAAACAGGCTTAGTACCTTTCTCGCCTCTCTTCTTCCTGGTACGATCTATATGATCCTTAAGCTGGATTCTAACTTGCCTTTCATTTGGCTGATCCCTTATAAAAGGATGTTTCAAAAGCTGCTCTGTAGAGGGCCGCTGCGTGTAATTCTTCACCAGGCACCCTTCTATAAAACTAAAAAATTTCTTCGACCTGTAAGAAGTGAAAAAGATCATCAAATTTCCACCACAGAGAGTAAAGATCCAAAATATCAGTAACTTACAAGCCTCAACATAAAGAAGAGCTTCACAATTCACTGTGAACATTCTGCAAATGCATAGGAATAATGTATGAAACATAAATAGGAACTCAGGACTGCTGAGGATCAGGAGCATTAATTTAGCACAGTTTACGTGGTGCATCCTATCGCTAACAACACACCACAAATAGGCAGCTAAGAAGGAAGTCAGATTTAAATGAACTGGGCTTAAATCTAATATTGCACATTAATCACTTAATTACAGGAGTGGCGGGGGCAAGGGGGTAGCGGGAGGTCTTTGATAAAATGAAGGCAGATGGGACAGATGTCCAGTACCTAGAAGACAAGGAGAGCAATGAGATAAGAAAAGGAGCAGACTCCATGACCAAATGCTGGGGCTCTTGAACCTGTTAATTTGACATTTCCACCAGAGTTCCAAACCAGTTGATTTGTCAGTTCCCTCTGTTTAATCTACAAAGGTGGAAATTACAGTCGTTGAGGTTTTTTTGGAGGGGTTAGGGGAAGAGATGAATCTGTCACCTACATTTGCCATACTAGCCACTTTTACTTCTGCCTGTTTCTCCATAACCAGCTCATGAGGACCACAGCCCTAGCCTTGGTCAGGACACTCTTACCAATCACCTATCCTACTTTTTGAGACTCATTTCAAGAATCACCACTTCTGGTAAATCTTCCTGGCAACACTCCGCCCTATGTGACCCCAAGTTAGGAACCTTTCTTCTGGGGTTATCTGCTTTTAACAGACTGCATGCTTTATGTTTCTGTCCCGCTGAAAGGTTGAAATGGTACAGGTCAAAAACTAGTTCCTACATCTCAACCTGTACGCAATGCTCAACGCTAGGCATGCACACCACAATAGGTATGGAATAAAGTTTTGTTGAATGAATGAGGTATTCTTCAGTCTTTAAAAATGTGAGTTAGAAAATTAGTTCACTCTTTCTACTTCACTGCTTTTAAGAATCACTTCTATTGTCTCGTATTTCCATTAAAACTTAACTTTTTTTCAATTCAACAAATATTTATGTATCAACTATTTACATTTGTTTACGTTAGGCTCTATAACACATACACATAAGAAATAAAGTGGAGAAATTTAGGTAGATACAACAGCAGACATATATCAAACTTACAGAGGAAGCAAAAACCTGTTACAGTGGATTGGACAAGAAGAAAAAGTAGGATGCTTGATATTCGTAAGGTAGGACAGAGAAGACAACATTCCAGAGTGAAGGAATGATATGAACTAAAGTAGGGAAGTGTTAGAGAATCATGAGTTATTTTCTGAGGCTAGTATGAAAAGTGAAAAAGGATGGAAAAATAGGTTAGGGTCAGCTCAAAGAAAAGCCCTTAAAGTCATTCAAAGTCGCTGTTACTTTATTCTACGTTTAATGAGGAACATGGAAGATTCTACACAGGATAGTGAAATGCTTTAACGCAGAGATTTCTAAGACCCAATGTCCACAAAGATCATTTTGGGGAGTTTATGGAAGATACAAATACCTGAGTCACTCCTCAGACCAGAAACTTTGAGGTTAGAGCCATCAGTTAAAAGATTCCAAAAGGATTCCTAAGCATTGTGTCCACAGACTAACATCTGGGAATCAATGAACTACAAAATATTTCCTAAAATCAAGAATCAAGTTCTGCTGGCAGAAGGACACTGATCATCTTTTGAAAGCCATTTCTCCAAAAAACAGAACTTACATCAGGTGGACAGCAATCACAAGAAGAAGGACTTTACGTCTGTAATTATCTCATCCTTTTAGAATACTTGGGTAATATGAGAACAGGGATATAAATGGATGAAACGTGTCATCTAATCCAGTTTAAAGAAAGTTTGGTGTAAGAAAAGAACACAGGAAGCATTTATTGCTGTCTACCACTGTACCTTTGTATCACTATATGTTGGACACACAGTGGTTAATACAAAACTGTAGCTAACGGACAGAATAATCGGAGTGTGAGGAACCCTGAAGACAGCATTAACTTAGCAATCCTTCCAGTACGGACTTCTGTCTACAAAATCTGAGAGAGATAAAGAAAAGGGGAGAATGAGTACTACTTAATCAAAGCATGAACTGGGTAAAGAGTTACTCCAGCTCCATAGCTGATTCCTTGGGTGATATCAGCTATACACATTGGGTTTCCCTAGGCATGGCCACCTGAGGATGTCCAGAGTTATTATGTCTTAATACAGAAGACTGACTGGAGCTAAAATCCTTACAACTCCGTGGCAATAAAAACCATTCTAAACACAGGTAAATGGAATCAGACAGCCACATGGAGCCAAACGTGGCTAAAGACTTTATAAAAACTGAGAAAAATCCTGCCAGCAGAAGACAGAGGGGAAAGGATGGTGAAATGTGTTGGGGGAAAGGACAGTGAGATACAGGGAGAAGCAGCACGAAGAAAACTGGTATGAAGATGGGTGTTGGCGTGCAACAACATAGGGGAAAAGAGAACTGCAAATCACCAGAAGGTGAGCAAACAAGAAAAAAAGCATAAACAGGAACCGCTAAAAGGCCAAATTCAGAATGGAAGCTTAACTCTGAGATGTTCTGCGTATTTCAGAATGAGAGTCAAGAACCTAAGACGAGGGTAGCATCAATTGGAAAACTAGTAAGAACTGTTTAAAAAAAAAAAAAAAAGTCATATAGCAGGTAGGAATCAATGAGTCCAGAAAAACAGAAAGAGGAACACAAAAAGGAGGGAAGGCCATGCATGAAGAGCCAGAGTACAGACGAGAACAAACAGGAAAGGACCCAGAAGGAAATTCAGGAGGGAAAGAGGGGGCAAAATTCTCAGCAGAACCCAAAACACTGCTCTCTCTCTTCAAGATTTTACAACTAACCCAGCAGTATGTTCCCACAATGCTGCAATCCTAACAGGTTCTCTCAGGGAAAGTCATCCTCCTCTCTCTCTCTGTGGGTATCAGTACTCTGTTTGACAAATGTATGAGAGTTACAAGGAGAAGGAAAAGTGACAGCCCAAGAAGATTAAGCCATTCTGTTAATATGCTATTCTGCAATGAAAGCTGGTATGTCTAACTTCAGTTAAAAAATAATAATAATTACAGTAAAAGCCTCCATTAATTTTAAAATCCTACGACATCTGAGGAACTGTAAGTCAACACAGCTTTTTTTTTTTTTTTTGAGACAAGAGTTTTGCTCTTGTTACCCAGGGTGCAGTGCAATGGCGTGATCTTGGCTCACCACAACCTCTGCCTCCTGGGTTCAAGCCATTCTCCTGCCTCAGCTTCCTGAGTAGCTGGGATTACAGGCATCAACACCACGCCCGGCTAATTTTGTATTTTTTTTCAGTAGAGACAGGGTTTCTCCATGTTGGTCAGGCTGGTCTCGAACTGCTGACCTCAGGTGATCCGCCCGCCTTGGCCTCCCAAAGTGCTGGGATTACAGGTGCGAGCCACCGGGCCCAGTCACTTTCTTTAATGGAAAGATGTTTAGAAGTATATTACACTTAAAAGAATGTCTAAATATTAAAACAGAACATTTGTCTTTAGACATGTTATAGTGTTTCGTGTGGTCGTTTGTCACCGTTTTGTAATTCAGAGAGAATTAATCAAGAAAAATCTCATTTAAAAAAAATCAACGCACCCTTTAATTGGAGTTTTGGAGAACCAGCTCTTGTGTTCCCCAGAATTAGAAGGGCCAGAATTTTATCTCAAAGCAAAGTATAAGTAAAAAGAAACAAAAAAAAGGAAAAGAACAACAAAAAACCATATATAGCTTACCATTTTTTTGACTTCAGCCGGGGAGGAGGGTTTCTGGGAATGAGAAACAGTGCTCTCATTGGATGCATGTCACAGAGAGCTGAGGAGAGGAGACGGTCGTGTCAGTATGGCACTTACTTTACTCATTCTTGATTTCTAGGGCTCAGTCATAAATAACATGAAATGCTCTGGCCCATCGTCTGACTGATAGGCTTCATACCGAGCAGTCTAGACACCTAGTTATGAACTCCAGGGCATACCTTGAATTTCCCATTTAAAAACAGCACAGCAGGAGGATGAGAGCAACAAGAAGAATATACATTTTTCAACAGACATTGGAAAGTTTTCATAAATCTAAGTCTTACAGGAACTAACACTTAAGTTGTTAAACTATCTGTAAGATTACAATGAAAATGATTGCATTTTCATAGGGTTGTTGTTGAGATTAAATAAGATATGGCATGCAAAGGCCTTCACGCAATGCCTGGAACAGAATGAGCACAGTTAGGCCCTCCAGAAATGCTGTTTGTTGTTACAGCTAAAAATACTAGAAAGAGCAAAAATTGAGCATGAAATGGATTTACTTCTGTGCAATTACTGTTTTTGTACTCCTATCACTCACCCGATAAAGGTGTGTTAGGCACACACGCAGGCATTACTGTGTCACCATAGGCAATGTGCATTTTCATGTGTTTCTTTACCTTCAAAAGACCCTTACAAGGCATCTGGGCAATGAGGAGGGGCAGACAATACTATTCCCCTTGTGAACAAAAACTGAGACAAAGGATGAGGTGGTACTTCCCCGCCTTACTGTCTCAGAGGGAAGCATAGGGGAATGTAGGGTGTTTGAGGCAGATCTCTACTTCCACACTGAAAACTAATTTTTAGCTGTCAATAATTACTTTCATTCATTCAACAAATATTTATTCAGCAGCAACTACGTGCTGTGCCAGACAGTTATACATTCTTTGTGTAGACCTTTTTTAATGGGGACAGCAGAAAATGCAGGGGTTTTTTTTCCTTTGTTCTCTGCAATTCTACCTCATCCGTGATCAAAAATGAATTATATGAAGTTCTCATTAATTCAATCCAATGGAGAAGCAAAAACTCACAAAATTTCAGTTAACACGCACAAAAAAATTATTCTATTAATAAAGTTTTGCCTCCATTTGTAAACTCAAAACTTAATACTAAAATTTCATGTGTTAGGAGTAGTTTCACTGAATTGTTCAATTTAAAATGTAAAGAGAAAACTTACTACTTATTATTTGATCTCAGCACTACTTCAGGTCACACATTTGAGTACAACTTAAATAAAAAAAAATGTAGCCTATAGGCTTCCTAGAGATATTTAAAAGAAATAGTAATAGTGGTTGCCAAGAATTCTTTTTATATCTAAAACTTGACTATACTGATGATGCCTTCATCTAAACAGTCTACCAGAAATGCCTTTATCCATGGAGCTGAGCTGTTCTTTTTGAAGTCTTGGGAGAGATTTAAGTTACACGTTAACAAGTGAGCTAAAAAGAAAAGTTACTTACGGGGAAAAAGAAAAGAAAGTTACTTACGGGGAGCACCTTCTGCCATCTCGATGGCTGTAATGCCACAAGACCAAAGATCACTCTGCAAAAATAAAACAGTATGTTACGGATACTGGAGTAGCTACAAAGCCACTAACTTACATGTCTGGCTATTCACACAACTTTGCTATATAAACCAAAATGAAGTTTGCCAGAAAATTAAAAGTACAAACACATTTGTAGAACTTATGGAAGGAGGGAGGGACGGAGGGAGGGAGGAAGGAAGGAAGGAGAAAATTGATTTGATTAAAACCACTCACATCTATGAATGAACTAGAGCTGGTCCACTTAAAAACCTCTCTCTAACTGTTCACAGTGAATGGTCTACGGTTCAATATGTTTCTTCATTTCTTCATAAGCATTCAATACTTTAGACTTCTGGCCCAGATGGATGTTTATTGTTAGTAACTCAAACTTAATTAAGATTTTAAAGTTTAAAGGCCAGAAACCATTCTTTACAAAGTGTTCACCACTGAATTCATAAAACCTAACGTGGCTCACTAATTCAAATCATGCCACTAAGCATCCCCACCCTACTTGCAAACCAAACAAGTCAGCTGGTTTTCTGTACATGGAATCTTTTTTTTTTTCCTGATTCCCCTGAAATACTAAATTTAAAATTTGAATTAAACTTCACTTTCTACTCAAATATTAAGTTCCATGAAGGCAGGCATTTTTGCCAGTTTTATTTACTTTTGTAATGGAGAGTACTCACTAAACACTGTTTGATGTACTAAAGTCTTATCAGACAATATTTCTTAAAACCCAAAAAAAAGAATTTTTGAAAAGTAGATGAGAATAGTTATTATCATTACTATATATTTGTTTATATGCTATCCTAACCAAGGAATTAAAGTTGCTCAGTTTAAAGGTTTTCTAAATAATCTATACTTATATTACAAAGTTCAGACACATATATCTGAATACAACAAAAAGGAGAGACCTATCATTCCTCCCTTATTTTCATTAAGCTTTCTATACTATCAGGGTACACAAAGGGGCTCATTACCCTAATCCAGGGGCCACTCCTGGCAATGAGCGGGGGAGGAACAGCTCTGCATGTCCCCTGCTGAGGCAACATGAAGAACCTCCACCTCCACCTCCCCAGTGGTGATTTTGCTAAGAAGGTTTTCCTTG